CTCATCCAACAATGTCTCCGGGGCATGTCGGCCCAGCTCCAGGAACTTGCGGGCATATTCCGACACTGTCATATTACCCTGGACCAACTGAGCAAATTCCATTTCCTTTAAATGTTGGATGTGTTTAGGGAGATACTCCGCATGGAAAGCCGCTAGGAACTGCTCCCAAGTAACTGGTACAGGCAGGGTGGCCCGCTTGAGCTCCCACCAGCGTACTGCTTCCCCTACCAGCATGTAGGAGGCAATGGCAGCCCTCTGCTCAGGAATTACTCCCAAGGTCTCAAAGGCTCTCTCAGTCTCCGCCAGCCAGTATTGGGCCTCTTCGAAAGAGGATCCCCCTGAAAAAGTAGAAGGGTTCAGTCTCCTGTACCTCTCTATGAAGCCGGGGTCGATCAAGGAGGGAGCGGGGTCCCGAGGTAGAGGGACTGGGGCCGGCTGAGGGTGAACTGGGGGACCCTGTGGTGGCGCCTGCTGATGGGGTGGGGGCACTGGAATGTGCTGTGGCGGTACCTGTTGGTACTGTGGCTGTGGTACCGGGTCGTACCGCGGCTGTGGTGCCGGGTGGTACTGTGGAGGAACAGGCTCCTGCCGGGGTGGCTCGGGATCAGCCTGCTGTAACGGGGGCTCAACCTGCGCTAGCGGAGGAGGTCCGGGTAACTCCCTTCTCTCCTCTTGCCTTCGCTGAGCAGCTACGAGAGCTTCCACCATCTCATATAATCTGTCCAAATCCTCCCGAAGTGAATTATCTTGGGCCGCTCGGTTTAGTGGGGGCCTTTCTCTCCTCATTTCTGTGTACTAAGAGAGGAATGGTTGAGTAACGACCAATCGGTGAGTATTTATTTATTTTTTTTTTTTTGAAGGACTATAGTGTAAGGGATGGGTCCGAGGAAACGCGGCTCTGATACCAACTGTAACGACCCCGGAAATATTAAAAAGAAATGAGTATTTAAATATATCGAATGCGGAAGCGAGATCAAAATTTCAATTAACATCCCTTACACGAAAAACCAAACAAACATACTTAAAATATAAAATGTTAAACTAACTAAGAAAGAAAACTCGAAAATAAACTATGCGTATGACTACAGAGTCTCTAGGCATCCCCTTCGTCGTCCTCCTGCGGAACGGGCTCGGGAACCATGTCTTCCTGATCTGAAATGGTTAATTAAGGAGTGAGCTACACTAGCCCAGTAAGAACATCACGATATCTCACCGTCACGGAGATAAAGGTGGGTAGAAAATAAAAATGACCAATGGAGCATAATTTACAACGAACTCGTTTATTAACATGAAAACCTTTACCATCCACTTACCTCGGTGGAATTTATGAAAACAATATAAGAAAAACAATAACATTATCATAATCATTGAATAATATAAGCTGTAAAACATAACACTTATCACGCCTCTTGAAATTCAATCATTGTACAACATATCTTTTTCTCATTTACCAGCCTACTAGTATCCGTGGGGGTCCATAGGGGTTCCGCTACCCGTTAACCTTTAACATTCATAATCAGTTTCCAGGGCCGTCCCCATACCCCGTCCGGTATGGGCGCCAAAACCATGAACCTCAATACCCCGTCCGGTATGAGGGTGAAACGGGCCGTCCCCATACCCCGTCCGGTATGGGGCGCCAAAACCATAAGATCTCCATACCCCGTCCGGCATGTGAGACCACAATCCCGGTAGGGTTCCCTACGGACCCGGTCCGTCCACCATCTCCCAGGATATCTAGTTAGGCTGACCCCCATAATACAATTATCAGTCTATACAATCTTTCATTTTCCTTTTCCTCAATCAACATCATCAATTCACATTTAAACAAGCAAAACAGTAATTCATGCCGAACAGACAACATACAATATCAGTTTTTTCAGTCATTCAACCCATGATTAATAAAAACGTAGTATATGCACACAAATCTGTAAAATGAACACATCAAACCTCATTTTGCATTTAAAGCTGTAAACAGGCCAAATAACAGTAAATCACCAATCACACTAGACTCGGGCTCCATTAGCAACCTTAAGCAATTTCACACATGCGTTAATTCAAGAAATACCGTTTTATCATTTTGAACTTTAATACCGTGATAGGAAATAGGGTGAGGGGTCCTTACTTGTTTTCGAGATCCGAATACGATTCACAGTGCGCCTGCAGGCTGTCCCTAATTTTCCCTGAATTTTTCTCGGGGAACTGAAACACACTAACAGTACCTGCACGTGTTCCAAAAAAATTCCAAATTAAGCCCAGGGCCTCTTTCGGCCCAAATCGCAACTCCGGCACGGCGGCTCCGCCGTGCTCCGGCGACGGCGCCGCCGCTGGCGGCGGCGAGTCACCTCGGGTTGACTGTTTTCGGCCGTTTCCGGCCGAATTCGGCCACACTCGCATTGGTCCTTGTCAGAAAACAACCCTAGGGCCCTCGGGGGCCAAAAAATCACGGAAAAACGGAGCTTACCGGTGGCGGCGCTCTCGGGTGCAGCGGCTCTCCGGCGAGGTTCGTGTTTTGGTGATTCGGCTCCGGTCAACCTGTAGAGAAAAGAATGGTGATCACGGTGATATAAAAATTGCATCGAACGGAGGCCGGGAAGGGCCTCGTCGGAGGCAAAAACCGAGAGGGG